AGAGAAGAGGGGCAGAGAGAGAGAGAGAGGAAGGAGAGAGAGAGAGAGAGAGAGAGAGAGAGAGAGAGAGAGAGAGAGAGACATTGTTGTTCTGCTCATTTATGCATCCATTGCCTCTTGTATGTGCCCTGACCAGGGAATCAAACCCGTAGCCCTGGCATACTTGATGACTGAACTACCCAGCCAGGCTTGAATTAAACTTCTTTTGAAACAATAAACTGTTTGGATTCTTGATCTTGAAACTTTGCCTTAGAGGTATAACACAATATAGCTTTCCTCTCAATTTTGACAGGCGATGTCTACCTACTCTACGTATCTACAGGGCTGTGGGATTAGATGGTAATTAGAAGTTGAGCCTGGCACAGTTGGTGTGCTTGCAGTCCCAGCTTCTCTGGAAACTCAGGCAGGAGGCTCTCTGGAGCTCGGATGCTGGGCTGTAGTGCCTGCACTAAGTGTGGCAGCAATATGGTGACTTCTAGGAGTGCGGGACCACCAGGTTACCTAAGGGGAGAGGTGAACCTGCCCAGGGCAGAAACAAGCATGTTAAAACTGGTGCTATGGGATGTGGAGAGAGCAGAGCGCCTGAAGAATGGCTGCTTCGTGATTAACACATCCAACAGCAACTTGGGCTTACTCCTCACGGGTGGCAGCATACCCTGACCTTCCTGTGACATTTCGCCCAACAATAACAAAAAAAGACAACTGGTGCTGATCACCTGTGAACAGCCATGCTAGTCTGGGCAACATAGAGAGACCCCGTCTCTTTTGCCCCCTCCTTGATTTAGGGAATCCTGTATCTCCTAATATTCCCTCTGATATATAGATATTGGTCTTCATGGCTACATTTCGTGGAACCTAAGGTAGTAAAAGTAATGGTTGATTTAGACTTTACTTAGAGAATTATGTGGAGCTTGGTTAATACTCACACTTGTTTTTCAGACCTTGAAAACACCCATCAATTATGGTGTTTTATGATCTTTAGCTCCCTCTTTGAAGTTAATATTTATTTTGTGTTTATTATGAATGCAGGTATGGTAGACGAGATTAAAAGTACTGAGAACTTAGGGTCTGGTTGACTAAAAGGTTGCATTTAAAAAGATAGGATGCATGCCATGTTTTCCATTAATATTTGTGTGTAAGGAAATGAGAGCGATAAGTACAGGTTAGCACTGAGTTTGATGCTCCTTCCTCTGACAAACAGCAATACAGTGTGGACTAAGTCACCCTTTAAGGGCAGGCAGTTCCTGGGGTGGAGATAGAGTGGGCGTCCTTTTCAGAAAACTGGGGAGTCCGACCAGGACTTGTAGAAAAGCTAGCTTGCATTTGGTGCAGGTATGTATGTGTGATCGAATCCTATGAATGAAATTTCAGTGTCATAGGATATGGATACTTTATTTTATTTTATTATTTTTTTTAATATATTTTTTATGTAGATAATGTAAACCATAGTCATGGGCAGTTGTTTCTGCCTCCTTTCTTGTGAGAAGAGACCTATTGTATACTTTGATTTCAAACACTGAGCCTAGCTCCAAATACCCATCTCACTAAGAAATATTTTTGCCATTTCTCTCCAGAATCCAAAATTTCAGCCAAATTCCAAATGCAGAGTTCAGAAAACCAGAAAGTTCAGTATCATTCACTGTTTTATATTGTTGTGTTTTGAGTGTGTTTGTGTGTGTGTGTGTGTGTGTGTGTGTGTGTGTTTTAAGTCTGGGT